CTAAGCTGTAACTTTAGTGTATTCTTTTCTCTTTTCTCTTTTCTCTTTTTCTTCTTTTTTCTTCCTTTTATGAGGCTCTTAGTGGCTCTTGGAAGATAAGTGTGTTTGTCTTCCTCCTGTAAATTTTCTACTGATGATTTAATGAAAGTGTTATTGATCAATGTGGGTGCACAGGTCTAAGCTATGCTTTTACGTAAAGCCTAATGATGGCCTGCACCAGGCAAAGATTACTTATACCCACCCATTGCTCAGCTTGACCCTATACTCCTAGTTTTGTATCTTTTTTTTTTTAAGATTTTGCTTGGTCTTCTCTCCCATTTTCTATGCCTCATTGTACTTAATTGCTTTTAATTTAATAAATTTCCACAGTTATTGATAAAAAAATCTTCTTTGAACTTGTTTGAAAGTTCCTTTCTTTTCTGTACTTAGCAGAAGCAAGGAACCATTTGATTGGACGTGGATGCAATTGTTGAGTAGCAGGTGACCAGCAAAAACCATGCAGACTCTTTATCTTCACTCTTTTAATTGTTCTGACAGGTTTTCTCTTGGTCTTGCTCTCTCTCATTTAATATCATTCATGTACATATTAATTTGAAATTTTGAACTTGAACCCCTGAACACTTGCAGGAGAAGTCCCCTTGAACTGATAGATTGGACAAAAAGGAAAGCCCTGAACCTGAAAGGACCTGCTCAGGGACTAGGATTCCATGGAAGAGATTTGAAATATGGTTTTAACAAGTCCACTCGACATGGAAAACTTGTTTGTTCAACTCCAAATTCAGATGACAATCAGCCGCCTCTCTTTGTCTCCCAAGAAAAGCCAAACACAAACCATGCACCTGAACCCTTGTTGAGCAAATGGTCTCCTCCTAGGTACCTGTGGAGGGGATTATCTGTTCTCATCCTGGCAGGACAGGTGATTATTAGAACTCTGAAAGGTAAAGTCCATCGGAACAACACCCTTCAGCAACTGGAGAGGGTAGGACCTAGATCAGTTGGGGTTTGCCTCTTGACCTCAGCTTTTATTGGTATGGCTTTCACAATTCAATTCGTTAGAGAGTTCACCAGATTAGGGCTACACAAATCCGTTGGTGGTGTATTGGCCCTAGCCTTCTCTAGAGAGCTAAGTCCTGTGGTTACATCAGTTGTTGTAGCTGGCCGCATAGGAAGTGCATTTGCAGCAGAATTAGGGACAATGCAGGTCTCCGAACAGACTGATACACTGAGGGTGCTTGGTGCTAATCCAGTGGATTACCTGGTCATACCCAGGGTGATTGCTTGCTGCATGGCTGTGCCAATTTTGACTCTCATGTGTTTTACAGTAGGAATGGCATCTAGTGCTCTTTTGGCTGATGGTGTTTATGGGATTAGCATTAACATTATCTTGGATTCAGCTCAGAGAGCTCTTAGGCCTTGGGATATTATCAGTGCGATGATCAAGTCGCAGGTTTTTGGGGGCATCATTGCTATAGTGAGCTGTGCATGGGGAGTTACCACCATGGGAGGTGCCAAAGGCGTTGGCGAATCAACCACTTCAGCAGTGGTGATCTCTCTCGTTAGCATCTTTATCGCTGATTTTGCCCTCTCATATTGCTTCTTTCAGGGTGCTGGAGATTCACTGAAGCACTGTATGTAACGTTTATAGTTTCAGGTACACTTGTGATCAATCATCTTTTGATGTCCAGGCGGGAGCTTGTTCAATTGCTGTGTTCTTTCTGAATGCAACAAGAGATACCAGACCAAGCATTCCATGCTCTGAAAGGAGCAAAGTTTCTGTAAAAATCTGTTTTACTTGATGTTCGCCATCATTTTTATTTTACTATTCTGTCTTGGATTCTCTCGAGTGTATAGTCCATTAAACAAATACGCAGTGTAATGCATTTTCTTGTGGTATCATCTAGAGTCTAGACTGCAAGCAAAGAAAATTTCACTTGTGAGAAAATTGTTGTGAACTAATTTCTTTGGTTACTTCCATTTTCCCGTTTCCTCTACTCTTTCTAACACCAACTGATGGGAAATTTGGATTTTGGAATGGACCAAGCAGAGTTTATCTCAACCTTGCTACTACGTATCGGTATCGGCTGATACATATCAGTTTTGAGACCTGCCGGCACATGGCCCGTATGTTGTTAAATTCAGTGACTTGTATAAATGATTTTTGACCCCCTATAACTTGTTAAATTCAAATGATTTTAAAAGTTTAGAAAGTATAGAATGTAAATTACAGTCAATCATGGCCTGTATGTTGATTGCAATATAATGTATTATTTAACAAGTTGTTAAAGTATGTATTTGTATTTCTTAGGATTTGTTTGGATTCCCTATCTTGTCTAGGAGCACAAGTCGGGCCAAGTTAGACCCGTGGAGGTCAAGTTGGGCTTGGGCTGACCTTTCTTCTCTCTACGTTTTTAGTTTTTGTCAAATGTACCCATTTCTTAGATTTTAATTACCATGTTTTTTTTATGCAAATATGAAGATTAAGTCAGGTTCAGGTTGGATTGGGTTGGGTTGGGTTAGTCAAGGAATCAACCCTAACGGCCAAAGTTAAGCTGGATTTATACTTTTCAACTTTAACCCTAACCCTAACTCAAACTTCAACCCAACCCTATTTTTATGGGCTGGGTTCGGCTAGCCCAGCCCAAGTTTTAGCCCTAATCATGTCCTTTAATTCCATATCCTAATTATTCCACCATTTTCTAGTGGTTCTCATGGCACTAGTGAAGGGGTTGAACAGATATTTGGTAAGAGACTTTGGAAAAATGATTTTCCGTGTATGCCAATCAATAAAAAAAAAGTGTTTATGGAAGAAGAAAAGTCATAACATATCATTCTTTTTTTTTACTAACATTAAACAAAAGAAATATTTAGGCTCCGTTTGGAAATGCAAGGTTTTACACCCTATATGTTTGTATTTGTACTCCTTCCAAACTGAGCCTTAATTACTAACTGTTCCAGGAAAAGTGCACAAGACCAGACCACCATTATTTCATTCCTCTTTCCTCTTTTCATATACATCTGTTGATTGATTCAATTGTATATACTAGAAGACAATCAAGCGATCAAATTCTGCTGCCACCAGGGTTGGGGATGAGCTACCCTCCAAAAAAAATGTTGTCCATGTTCTCCCTCTCTCTTCCTAAACTTGTTAGAATTTTGTAGGTTTTTTATTTTAAAACATAAAGGATTGAACTATGGGATTTCTCACAGTCAGATTAATTTACAATCGGGATTGGAACTGGAATCAAAATCAAAATCAGAATAGTCTGTTTGGTTTAGATAAAAACTGGAATGAAATTAAAATCAATTGGAATGGGATTTCATTCTAAGAAAAGGGGAAGTAATGGCCATTACCTCAAATGAGAAAATGCCGTTCCAACTCTCACCGGAATCCATTCTAATTCTGCCCAATCAAACGGTTAAAATCTAAATGGCTAGACCCCTATTCCCGTTAACCAAACGGCCACTCAGTTATAACCATCAATTCAGTTTCCTTTTTATCGGGAGAAAAACCAAACTATAAAAGAAGGGTATGTTTTGTAGCTCCAGCCCACTTTCTTCTCTCCTTCGCTCCTCCTCGCAACCCC